ACACACACACACACACACACACACACACACACACACACACACACACACAACCCTACCACCATGCCATCATCCTGGTTGATTTTCTCTTTAATTACTAACTTGTCTAACTCTGCCAAGTGCTCATTCGCTAATGGTTTTGCCTATGATCTGACCAGTTCTCCAACATCAATTTCATTGACATCATTGAAATCCCATATTTTGGTAAGACATGGACACCACAGTTCCAAATTGCATTGTATTTGCAATTTATTGTCAGATGTTTACAACAACTTCTTAGGAGGAATAAACAGATACAAGGTTAGGAAAGAGGAGTGGAAATTCATGTTACAAATGGTCGGTTCATTTGTAAATACTGTCATATTACAATGACTTGATTTTCTTTGTGGGGTTTTTTTAAGATTTATTTATTTATTTTAGAGAGAGGGAAGGAGGGGCAGAGGGAGAGGGAGAGGCTGTGTGATTTGGGATAGGGAAACAGGGACAGACATTCAAGGCCACCTGTGCCTCTTAGCAGCTGTATGACTCTTGAAAGAGTATCTAATGGCTTTAGACTTCTTTCTTCCACTGTAAAAAATGGAGACAATACTCCCTAACTCACACAGGTTTTGGAATGATTATATACAAGACATACTTGAGAAAGCATCTCACAGAGATACTCCAGAAATGTTCATTTCCCTTCCCTTCTTTAGAAAAATGATCATAAATTCAATTTGCAAATACCTAAAAGATGAGTCATTTAAATAAAAGTGCACTCTGGTTAATTTTAAATCCTTCTGTGTCCAAACTACAAGTCATCGAAGACTGAGGATCAGTAATAGCTATAACTTCTCAAATTCATCAAAATGTATTATTTCATTCTGTACAGAGTAGCTAACCAATGAACTGAGAAAGTTGTTTTATAATATACTTCCTCAGACTGTTTTATACAGAAGAGGAGGAAAAATGCCAGTTGTTAAAAATAGGCAGGAAAATTATGTGAAAATGAGAGACAAAGTGATGGATGGCAACAATTGTAGAACCAACACAGTCAGCTGCAAACATGAAGACAGAGGGATAATGGTGTGGGAAGGACCCAACTGAGGAAATGGGCTTCCCTCACCGGCTGCAGCACCTGGTCCCATGATCCTCCACTCCCTTTGATAGTGGTCTATAGTAGGAGAGATACAGCTCTGGCCAATACACCTGAGTGAGTCACTGGAACATGTTAACAAATGATCAGCAAGAACACAGCGGGTCTTGTGGGTTTGGCTGCTTGGCCAAGGTCATGGCTTAACACTTGCCTTGTATACCAAGTCCAGGGAATTTCTGTGAGTGTGTGTGAGTTGAGTAATGGAGTAACACAGATTCTATACCCCTCCTGTGCATGAACCAACCAAAATCCTCAAAGAATAAGCTCTCCTGACAGAGTCAGTAGACAGTTCTACTGTCAGTGATGTCTTTTCATACACATTTAGCATAATATAAATATTAATTAACAACCTGCCATGCTGATAAATATACATAGAAGGCAATGCTTAGGCTTTTTTTTT